ACACACATACATACACACATACTTACATACATACATACATACATACACACATACATACATACATACATACATACATACATACATACATACATACATACATACATACAAAGAAGACGGAAAACAAGTATCGTTCCCATTGGACATTCACTTTGGTTCTCTGTTCCTCCTTCCGGCGAGTTTAACTGTGAAGGTACAAATGGTTTTATGAACGTGAAAGTGTTCAAGTGGGTCCGTCTTCGGGCACGTGTGAATACTGAGAACGCATGGAATTATACCAGTTTGAGATCACATTTAACTAGACAAGGACATCTTTCTACCACTTTCTCTGCACACAAAGCTGCGAAGGCGTTCATGGTTGTTGAGGAAATATTTCAAGTAATCTCCACTTTTGCACCACATGGAGTTGATGACCACTACCGCGTCTAGTGTCTGTATGCTTTTAGAGAAAGGTCCGTGCAAATACAATGAGCGTACATTTTTCATGAATGTAACTGGGGTGCTGAATGGAGTCCATTCAGCCTCGTGAGGATAATTTAGGAGCTATTTGAAGGAAATAGCGGTTCTGGTCTAGAAAATCAAAAGTAACTGCCGTGGGGATTCGTTGCGCTGACTACGCGACACTCTCTATCCACTAAAGTTGGTACTAACTTCGCTGAAAAGCGGCGGTCGCTCGGTCGGTAAAATTCGCTTAAGAACTAAAACAAAGGAGTATGTTCTTTTGCTTTTCTGTTTTTGTAACTGAGACTCTAGAGTGTGTACCATTATTTTCCTGAACACATCACATATGCAGTTTTCTTTGTGGACGTGGTCTTCAGAGATTTCTGAAATTTAACAAAAATCGTTAGAGACGTTTTCGAGGAAATTGGAATGTTGTGTTTTGGGGTACTTCTGTAAAGGGCTCATATTTTGGAGACTGAATGTCCACATTCAGCGGGTACCGATCTGTGATGGATAAGAAGCTAATACGAATGAACTCCGTCCTTCCGTCCAGGCGCTAGCGAGACGCACTATATATGGACAGACAGACAATTTTGCAGGCACTACTTTTTCGCATACGTGGGGGTAGGGGATCGTGTCTATCCGTCAGGGTCTCGAGATCGGTTTAGTTTCTCAATCACAACATGTCCCGATAAATATGCAAGAGAAGGAAAGATGTAACTTGAAATTAGCTGTGGATATCAGAGTCCCTCCTGCGTCAGGATGTGAAGATTCACAAAGAGGGTGCTTCTGTCGGGAGGTAATAATGAGTGGTACCAGAAGAAAGTAAGTTCGTCCGTGTGCCTAATTAAGCCCCTTGCCTTGAAGATGTTTGGGGAGTGCAGATGTAGCTCTAGCCCTTCTTAAGCTCTGCACTAGACGTGGCGAGCAGCCGGCTTGACGTTCCAGTGCTTTCAACCCTGAAAATGTCCCCGGTATCCACTGGAGAGGAGTCTGCGTGGATTCAAGAGCCGGCCAAGACGTTACGCTGTACACAAAAGTGAAATGTCTGCCGGCATACAAATCCAAACAGAGCCCTTAGTCTAGTCACTACACTGACTGAGCTATCCCTGCTCGAGTAGTGGTGGTGGTGGTGGTGGTGGTGGTGGTAGCAGTAGCAGCAGCAGCAGTAGTAGTAGTAGTAGTAGTAGTAGTAGTAGTAGTAGTAGTAGTAGTGTTTAAAGTAAAGTCCCTGTACATAATAGAAGTCGAGATAGTGTAATTGGTATAGCGACTGGCTGCGGGCTGGAAGACCGAGGGTCGGAGTTCGAATCACGGTAGTGTCAAGAATTTTTTCTTCCCTACGTCGTCCAGATCGGCTCTGGTGTCCACTCAATCTCTTATCCAATGGGTACTGGGGGTTCTTTACCCTGTAGTAAAGCGGCTGGAGCGTGAAGCTGACCACTCACCTCCAGCTAGTGCCATGGTCAAGAAAACGTGGATTTATACATCCACTCGCCATACGCCTTCATGGTGTTGCGCTTAATTAGTTAAGCACAGGGACAACTTTACCTTTTACTCGGTATGTAATTAGGCACTGCGCTATAAAGACAGAGACATGCATTTATAACCTCGGAAATTACAAGAAAGCAAAGCGGCTTGCTCCTGCTTCATGCTGGTTTCTTGTATGGTTTATTTTTCAACCCTGAAGATGGATGCGACATATGCCTTCCAAATGTCGATTGACTTTTCAATTTACCACAAGGCGTTATATATCAAAATCGTTCTAGTTTGTTCTCAGTAAGATCTCTGGATGGGCGTTCTCTTTTTGAAGTAAACCCGTAGGGTGAAAGTACATACTCGTAAAAGCACCAAGCTGTTGTGAACCGTTACATGATATACAGTAGAAAGAATATTAATGGAGATCTAGATAAGTAATTTTTATGGTCACTTTCAAGGGGGGATTACTAAATGAATCCTGAGGCTATGTGTTAATCTACCAAATATTTGTCGCGATTGGAATCAGGAACTTGTGAATACAAAGACATTACCAGTGATCAGAACACAACAATGTGTCAGTAACTCCGACCAATCAATGTCAGCGAACTGCTAAGCACAATTTATATATAATGCATAAACTTGCCAACTGTAGTCAGAGAGGAGAGCAGTGGGGGGACGTCAGTTTCTTCTTGGAGTCCTCGAGGAGAATAAGAGTATTTGCCAGTCATCTGCGAAGAGCATTCGTCTACACTACATTTTGTTCCGGGCGCTACAGTGCTGTAACTAACATTCTGTTGTGGGCACTCCACACTTGCAGGTGAGAAGAACGTACGAGTCGCTGCACTACAGTAAATTACTAACTCCCTGGTGCATAAATTTCAATACATTCTCGATCCAGAAAGGAGGAGTTATTGAGGAATCAGACGTCTCATCACAGTCACCATAAGAGGTACTCGAATATAAAAAAAATATTAGCTCAAATATATTGCATTCACAATTGTCTAAGAACTAAGTTGATATGTAATATACATGTGAAATAATGATTATGTGTAATACAATAATTCAACTAAAGCGATAAATAGATATCATTGCATGAATAAAAGTAACGTCGTGTAGTTCATTTGGAATAATTACGTATGCTTCGTAACTGTGTGCATTTTTAAATTCTCGTTATCTCCTATGCATTTGTTTTGTATGCATATGCTATTTTTTTAATCTTGTCATCCAGCAGAATTAATAATGGACATAAGTGTTCAATTGTCTACTGACAACTATGTCAGGAATTAGATACATGGACCTTATGATAAACGCCTTGAAATAAGACATCTATCATTCTGCTCACGTGGTACACGCACCATAACCCGTTTAACTTATGGGCTGATTGCCAGAATGATATATCAGCTAATTTCCAGGACGTTAATGATATATACTTATAAATATCTCAAGTATGGAAGATAAATTAAAACTATCGTATTACGGACGCTACTGGACCCACAGAAAACGTAAAATCTACACCCGTAAGGACAGTAATATTGCTTAGTTACATATTCATTCCATATGATATTAATTGCAAGCAAAATTATACATCAAATAAAGAAAAGAGGCAAACTTTTAAAATTATATGATATATCTGAGGCAAATAAATTGTCTATATCACTGTTGCTCAAATGCTGGTATGGGGAGTGTTGTGGCCCGCAAATTCACTTGGCGTTATATTCTAGTAGGCAGAAAAGGTAAAATAGTACCTGTGCTTAATTAATTAAGCACTATGCCATGAAGGCGTGCGGGGGAGATGAGGTATAGCTCCACCATTCTTAACCTAGACTTTAGATGGAGATAAGTGGTCAGCTTCACTCCCTGGCCGCTTTACCCCCGGGGAATTAATTTTACTGTTGGTAGAGAATTCGTTTCACAACTAGGGAAATTATTTTGTTACTGGCTTGCGTTTCGTGATACACAGCTTATGCTGAACATAACCTGATTTTCAGCTCTCGCTTTTCGGCATACACGTGACCGGAAGAGGGGTCAGAAATTTTAGTGTAGGTGCTCGCTTTCCGCAGGTGTAGGCATTAAGAACTTATGATTCTTGCAGAGAGCTATGCCTGGCAACCAATTCCTTCACATGTTTTATTGCATACATTCAATTTTCGAAAGATCAGTGCATGAGATTTAAAACTCTTCAATTTTAAGTTCATGAAAAGACATCAGTCAGAACGTTGAAAATATATATAGGACTACAAATATGTGATTTCAAACCCGATAGGAATCATTACATTTCCAAAGTAGTTTGTAATGCATAGCGCGAGATATTTAGGTCCTTGCGAAACAATAGTTCTATAGATCTGCGAGTAAAGAAAACATTTGTAATAATTGTTCTATAAAATCTGCATAATGATAAGATTCGTAACATAGAATTTTCGCCAAATAAAATTAAATTTATCACGTTAAGGAGGATGAGATTAGTGGGGTATGTAGTACCGGCAAAACTATAAGGAAATAAATTATTGATGAGGTCTACTATATATATGAGAGGATAATGTTAAAAATTCATCGTATGTAAACAGGATGTGCCGGTCACGGTAGCCGGGCGGTCTAAGGCATGTACTGTCTTCGCTCGTTTGGAAACCCGGATCGTGGGTTCGAATCCCACTCAGGGCATAGTTGTTTAGTTTGTGTGTGTGCGTTTTTCTGTGTTTGTGTACAGGTAGAGGCCTTGCGACGAGCTGATCACCCGCCCAAGGAGTCCTACCGAATGTGTAAAAAAACCGAAGTGAACGGAGAAGTTCATGGAGGTAGGCCTAGGCCCACTGGGGCTATAGTGCCAAGGAAAAAAAACAGAATGTGGGTATGGGTTGAACTCATCTTTCTCCGTATACAGATCAATGGCCGACTCTTGTTAACACTGTAATAGACCCATGGAGTCCATAAACTACTGTAAAATTCTCGAGAAGCTGAGCGACTAAAGTATGACCATGAGCCGGTTGTAGTGAAAGTGACGAAAGCAGGGCGGTAGAGCTGGCTGAAATAACTTGTTAGCAGGCAGGAGCAGAAACCTTGCAGGAAGCTAACTCTACAGAAATCAGGGGAAACTCGACGAATAGGCAGACCTGCTAGCAGATGGCTGGATGCAACTGAAGAAGATCTGAAAGTAATGGACATTAGATATTGGGGACGAAAGTCACAGGATCGGGAAAACGGAGAAGAATCGTGAAAGAGGTCAAGGGTCATCATGGACTGTAGAGCCCGCAGAAGAAGAATAAGAAGGAAAAAATCAAAGGGTTCCACAGTCTCACGTACAGTGTAGCACATCTTTCTATAAAACTTACTGAAAGTTATTAAATTTAAAATTGTACACGTCATAAGCAAGTACAAGTGAATACACAACAAGTAACCGAAGATACACTAAAGCACACAATACGTGTATACAAAATTCTAACAGAAGATATTCACACGTGTTACAGGTATACATACACATAAATGGGACCGCATAATAACCACCAAAATCCACGATACGGAAGCACAGCAGTTTCCTCATTTATAAATTTATAATTTTAAGAGGTCTGATGATGACCTTATAAGTCGAAACATGTAGTGAATAAGTTAAAATCTATATAAAGTGTGAAAACTTTAATGCGAATAACTTTTAGTAAGTTTTATAGAAAGATGTGCTTCACGTGAGACTGTGAAATCATTTGATACTAAATGAAGTGCAGCAGGACGCTATACAACGTAATATTAGAAGAAGAAGAAGAAGAAGAAGAAGAAGAAGAAGAAGAAGGAGGAGGAGGAGCAGCAGCAGGAGGAGGAGGAGGAGCAGCAGGAGGAGGAGGAGGAGATGAAGGCGAAGAAGAATGAGGAGGATGAGGATGAGCAAGAGAAGAAGGAGGAGGATAGCAGGAGAAGAACGGGAAGAAGGAGGAGGAGGAGATGAAGACGAAGAAGAAGAAGAACAAGGAGGAGGAGGATGAGCAGGAGAAGAAGGAGGAGGATGAGCAGGAGAAAGAGGAGGAGGAGATGAAGACGAAGAAGGAGGAGGAGCAGGAGGAGCAGGAGAAGAAGAAGGAGGAGGAGCAGCAGGAGAAGGAAGAGGAGGAGATGAAGACGAAGAAGAAGAAGGAGGAGGAGGAGGAGGATAAGGAGAAGGAGGAGATGAAGACGAAGAAGAAGGAGGAGGAGAATGAGCAGGAGAGGGAGGAGGAAGAGGAGGAGGAGGAGATGAAGAAGAAGAAGAAGAAGAAGAAGAAGCGACTGCTACGTACTCAAGGAGATTCAGCTCCATGGACTTAGAAGATTTATGAGGTGCAGGAATTTGGGAAATGGGACGGCTGGGATTTTCACGGCCGGTGTCCCATCTCGGATTTCGGTTCGTTCAGTGCACAGCTACAGCCATATCTGCGAGAGTACGAGTTATGAAACTACCGGTTGTGTAATTTTCTTCCATCCTCATTGTATTTCATCCCTCTTTGATCCAGACATTCTCCTCATCACTCTGTTCTGAAATACCTTCAACCCATATTCATCCTTAACGTCAGAGGCCAAGTTTCATAACCACAGAGAACCACAGGAAAAAATAGTTTTCTTTTATATTTTAATTTTTACGTTTTTAGGCAGCAGACGAGGAGACAAAAGATCCCGAACTGAATAACAGAAAGAATTATCCGAATTTAATCTGTTCTTAATTTGCTCACAAATAAAATTTTAATTTCTTACTTTCGTTCCCAAGTACCTGTACTTTGCCAGATTTTCAAAGGGTTCATTCGTAGTTGGTTGAGGGGCTATGCTACAAGCCAGAAGGTCGCGGGTTCAAATCCCGATGAGGTTATTGAATTCTTTTCAATTGACCTAATCCTTCCAGCCGCACTAGCGCCCTGGGGTTCACTCAGCCTCTAACAGAAATGAGTACCAGGAATTAATTAAATAATTTTCCTGGGGAGTAAAGTGCGGCCGGCGCGTAAGGCTGACAACTATACCGCCATCTTTGAGCTGATTGTCTAGGTAATGTGAGACCCTCAACGTCTCACATCGCTATGGGCCTTCACGGCCTCTTACAGGGATAGCTTTACTTTTTTTTACGTACTTACTTTATATTAGTTATTATGTTACGATTTTCCCTCGATTCTAGTGAGGAGACTTCAACATGCACTTAGTTCTCTCAATTTACTTCTACACCAACCTCCTTACTAGCGTCAATTAGAGCTTCCGTGTTTTTCTTTCTGGTAATTATGTTGTTTCCCAACAGATTTACATCATCGGTAGTGAACAGAGGCCGAAGGGTCTCATTTAATTTCAGTCCCATGCCCCATATATTCAAGTTCTCTCGTTAAACCAATGAAGTCAAGGGTAGCACGCAGTGATACATGATGAAAGTGAAGCTTCATTCTCAACAGCTGTTCTGACTTTGGATTAGTAATTCAACGTTCAAAGAGACTACCTGCAAGTAATGCACGCGACGACTTAGGCAGGAAAGTTTAACAACCACAAAAATACGAAATAAAAAGAAAGACATGCATTCCTTGAGTACACACACTTTTCAGGTATATTCTTTGCGAATCCGATGAACATGTTTATGTAAGAGAAAGGCACTAGCAATAACACGAAGAAAATTACTTTAAAAGGATCTTCATACTTTGTACTCTTCAGCATATGTTATTAAGCTGACGACACCGAGGAACCTTAAGGGGGAGCGGGGATGTGTCATGCATGCGAGAGAAAATAAATATGAATAAAATTGTAGTCAGAGAACCAGAAAGGACGCCACTTGAGTAGCATAGACAGGAGAATAATGTCAAATTGTTGAAGAAAGTAGGTCTGACAACCTGCAGTGAATCCATCTAGTTCAGTGCGGGTTACTGAGACGGGCGCTTGTGAAACTTCAAGTTCCATGAAGGAGGAGCAGGATTCTTACTAGACGAAGGACTCGCAGGAATACCTCTCCACAGGGCAGGTGTTTTCAAATTTTTAATCTGTGATGTTGTTGTTGATTTACTATAGATACAAATGAAGTCTTTCGTCTTGTCTTTGTCCTAATTCTTGCGGCAGAAATACTCATTAAAATGATTACAATGCGGGCTATCGTAAGCGTACAAATCTATTACTGACAAAGGCAATCAGAAACAGACAATTATTTTATTTTGATTGTGTTTATAATAAATAAATATAAAGTTAAATGTAAAAATTAATATTTCTTTGTGCGGAATTAAGCAGAAATCCTACAGTGGAATGGAGGAAAGTTTCACGGGTCTGTAAACGCAACACCCGATGGAAGTAAGTGGCCAGCACCATGTTTCGGCAGCTATACGTGTGGGACAGGAGGAGGGGTCGGGCCCAGCGTGTGTATAGACAGGACAGTGTAAACAAATACACGAGTGAAGAGCCGTGTCTTCTGGGATATAACGCCGTAAGTCCATTGTAAGTCAGTCGAAGTTTCGAAGGAACATGTAGCAGAGCTTCACATGCTACCTACCTGGTTTTGGTTCCATGTTTGCTTTATTTTTCGACCCTGAAGATCAAGGCGATATTTTCCTCCAAAACGTCGGTTAAGAAAATATCTACACGGCGCCACATCCCAGAACACTGCTTTCTTCAATACATGGCAGTCCACAATAATGTAATATTGGTAGATAATATTAAGATGGATTTTAAGGAAGTGAAGTGATAATATCCAGTGGCAGGCTGTTGTGAACATGGTAATGAAGGGCCGAGTTACACACCAAAGGCGGAATTTCTTGTTGATTATCTGAGAAAACTATTAGCTCTGGAAGATTTACGACAGTGAGTCACGTCTGATAAAAAACGAAATGCACTCTTTTATTTCGGAAATCTAATATCATATATTTTACTGTAATTATAATATCAATGTGTCCATAAATGTTTCGTATCTTCTATGCGGATAGATAAATATTTTATGTTGTTATTGCATCAGGGTTGGAGCGTACGTGACTGAGATGCGCAGCAAATCGCAACAGATGTGCGCTGCCGCTATCTGGACAGCTTGCCTCGTGACAGAAATTCACTTTAGGTCTGCCAGCGCTCAACTGAATTTCCCATACAAGAAACTTGCCATATCGGACGGTCAATTAACCACGGTATGAGGTAACCGCATGCATTCTGATTTTTGTCTTATTGAATTGGGCTATTAGGGCTTACTTAACTTTCATACATTTCAACATCATTCTGTCTTCATGCTATGGAGGATACTCTCTTGCATTTAAACAATATCAACAAGGAGAGCTCTATCTTGAGCCTCACAACTGGCAGCTTCTCCAGAAGGGCTCATCTCCGTGGAGTTAAGAGTTCTGTCTTCTGGGATATAGAGTCACATAGTCCACTGGAAGTCAACCGAGGCTTCCGAGGAACATGTCGCTGCTATGAAAACAGAGGCTGTGTTCCTCAGAAACATCGGTCGAATTCCAACGGTATGCAAGACGTTATGTCCTAACTATGAGAAAGATAGGCTCAGTGGGTCAAATTCAGCCATGATTCAAATATTTCAATATCCCATGAAAGGTATATATTGCAATATTTTATTTATTTCTTTGAGTGGAATGAAAATTACTCCATTTGATACGCTGGCAAATATTTGGCCTACTGTACCAGCCCTGGATGGTAGATAGTGATGAGTGTGGAGAAGTCGGTGGAATGAGAATTGGTAGGAGAAAAAGTAGTTGGAGAAAATCTGCCCCGGTGCCACTCTCTCTACCCCAAATCCCACATGACATGACACGGGATCGCACCTGGCCGACGCGGTGGGAATTCGGCGACTAAGTAACTGAGCTATGGTACGGTCATTTTATATATTGCAACATAGTTCGGTATCTGAGTCGTAATACCGTACAGCCCTCTACGTACGTGTCAAAGTTTCAGAGGAATATCCTTTCTGTCTACCTCGAAGACAAAGGTAGTTCCTCCGAAATGTTGGTACCCATATGCTAGCTACCCAGCTATGGCTCTTCACGGCCATGAACATCTCAAGTCTCACACGTTACGGTGCCCAAACTCAGGGGGTTCGATGCCAGATTCTCACGGAATGGACCCTGATTCAGGATTCATTCCCAAGGCGGCCAACACTGAATTTATATTAATAGATATCCTTAAAATTAGGCTTATATTTGTCACGTATTGGAATGTCGCAATGTGAAGGTAGTCTCCCACTTTCTTCCGAATTCTCACCTTTCACTTTCTGGAGAGACAATGAAAGGGCGCGTTTCGTCTACATATTACACTCGTCTTCTACATGGGAATAAGAAGTGCATTGTAAATCGGACATCAGCCAGAGGGCAGGACGAAAGCCAGCGATTTTTGTACTGCACGTTTAATTTGTATTGTAATTACACAAATAATTCAGGCTAAATCAGTGCTTTATATGGATGTAGTGTAACAAATGCAATTTCTACATTACTGGGAACTCCTATAGTCTCCCTAGGGAGAACTCTCAGAGAAAATCACCTTAAATTGCATTTATATTTCTATTTAAAATGGGCATTGAATTAGAGTTAATATAACTCATAAATGTCCCATATAATAAATTTCATCAAGAAGTAAAAATAAGCAGCAGTAAAATGGTTCCAGAGATTCGAGAAATTTGATAAAAGTCGACCTAATTATACGCGCATAATAATAGTGTCGTGTGGCAAGTCAGATCAAAACCTCGAAAAGGTAGACATAATGAGTTCTCTCTTCTGAGGCGTAACACCGTACAATCCGTTAAAGTCAGACTAGAAGACATAACATTACAGAAGATAGAACTCTTCAAAACCATTGCTGTGAAAACCTCAAATCTGGTATAGAACGAACTCCCTGGCTTTAGTCCGCAAGAGAACTATACCGACCGTGCTACAGTCTCTTGTCGGCGAGGTTAGTGTCAACTTTAGCGGATAGAGGGTGCCGCGTGGTCAGCGCAACGAATTCCCATATGTCAATTTCGGTTTTCTAGACCGGAGCCGCTACTTTTCTATTAAAGTAGTTCCTCAATTATCCTCACGAGACTGAGTGCACTTCACAGAAAATCTGGTAGCGCTGGGAATCAAACTCTGGACCTACGGATCTGTAGTCAGAAACTCTGACCTCTAGACCACAGAAGAGGTCATGCCTTACATAGGCATATATAAAAGTTAACTTAAGTCCTAGAGAAAAATTCTCATTAAAATTAATGAAAATATACAAAAACCGTAACGGCCAAACTAATTGTTCGTTAATTCATTATTCATCAATGGCTCTATAGGCCTTTATTGGGCCATGTTCTCTTCTTCAGGTCCGTAATATTTTTTACACAGACTGTAGGACTCCTTGGGCGAGTGATCAGCCCGTCGCAAGGCCTCTACCTACACACGGGACAACAGAAACACAGAATAAACGCACACACAAACAATCGTGCCTTGAGTGGGATTCGAATCCACGATCCCAGCGTTAGAGCGAGTGAAGACAGTTAACGCCTTAGACCGTGAGACCACTGTGATCAGCCAAATTGTAGTTTAGATGAATCGTGTTAAGTTAGCTCGGCGTCAGCCATGCAGCTAAGGATTTGTTACTCGCTAAAGGATATAATGTAATTATTACGAAAACTTTTACGAATAACAAATAAAACAAATTAATTTTTTTTTCTGAAAAGAAAGGCTATAAACTATTTGTACTTGAAAGTGTTTAGAACTATGAATAATGCATCTCGTATACAAACAATTTAGCAACGAGGCCACCGCTGTTGCAATTCATTGTATTGGACGTGACTCATAAAAAGGACAATCACAGCTATAACAAAAGAAGTAAACTTAGGCACCCTTTCATGCACAAACTTTCTCGAAGAAGAGAAAGTTTGATACATTCCACAGGGCTGGGCTTTGCCTTCATTATTCCATCTGCAAGTAGAGCTTACACACATATCCACAATTTAGAAAAGTCTCACTTACTTTAAATATATATACCCTTGGAATCTGACTAAACTGAAGTAATAGAGAAAGTGGTGGAAAGGAAGTATCGCGCCACAAAGTTCTGTCATACTAGGTCTGATTGTAGAAGTAAAGAGTAAAGCTATCCCTGTAACAGGCCGTGAGGGCCAATAAGTTTGTGAGACGTTGAGGGTCCCACATTATCTAGACAATCCGCTCAAAGATGGCGGTGAGGTTGTCAGCCTTACGTGCCGGCCGCGCTTTACTCCCCATGAAAATTAATTAATTAATTCCTGGTACTCACTTCTGTTAGAGACTGAGTCAACCCTAGGGCCATAGTGCGCTGGAAAGATTAGGTCAAATGTTTGATTGTTCCCTTTCTAAATTGCTTTCCTTGTTTTCATAAATATAAAAGGAGGCTTATGATTGTCTTCGTATCCGTCTGCGTCTGTGTATCTGTCACAAGAACAAAAACAAACTCCGTGGTTTCTAGTCCGCAAGCGAACTATACCGACCGAGTGATCCCCGCATGTCGGCGAAGTTAGTGCCAGCTTTAGCGGATAGATAGTGTCACGTGGTCAGCGCAACGAATCCCCACATGTTAATTTCGGTTTTCTAGACCGGAGCCGCTAATTTTCCAATCGAGTAACTCTTTAGTTGTCCTCATAAGGCTGAGTTGACCCCGTTGCAGACCCACTACTTCTTAGTAAATCTAGTTGTTGTGGCCCAAAGGCCGACTCCCGGTAATATGTTAACATAGTATTAACATTTTTGTATTTTTGGGAAAATATTTGTTAGAGGTATGAAAGCGGATGTACGAAAGGCTAACAACTTAAAGGAATTTCTGCGTATGGATTTAGACGGACATTGGCTTGCCGCGAGGGAATGCCGAGTCAGCAGAATGACGTTGAATGTATATCGA